AAAAAAGTGCGTTTATTTCTGTTACACCCGTTATATCTACTCAAAATGCAAATAGTTGGAGTTATTATGATATAAAAACAAATAGATCGGAAGAAGATGGCTCATCTGATTATTTACCAAATATTGCTGAGCCTGGCACGATTGTTGGTCATACATGTTCGAAATCATATTTTTCCTCCTATTTAGCAGAAAATATTCCAGTTTTTATTTCATTAGGTGATTTACAATATTCAGTTTACAATTGTTTAGTTGAAAATGATACGAATAATTGTGTTTGTAATATATCAACGTCGGCACAACTTTGCGTCACCAGTGAAAGACAACATGAAATGAACAAGAATTTTAAAGAAGATCAATTATTATCATCTTATATTCGAGTTCCCTATTTTGATAATAATGATTTATTTAGTTACAGCATCACTCAATGGTGGAAATGTGTTAACATCATTTATTCAAATGATTTATATGTGGTTAAATGAACTAATACCAAATTCTTCGTCATTTCTGTCTATTCAAGAATTATGGTCGAAGATAATTCAATTAGGTTTAAAAACATCTTCGTATCCATTATTTGATTATTGGCTGCTTTTGAAAGACATGATCCCGATATGTGTGCATACGTTCAAAATATTAAATTTATCATAAATATAAACAATATTGGACTTGTGTTTCGTTCCATTTGTCTTGGATAATTCAAAATCTCTACACGATGATAACAAGACAAATTTTAGTAGAAAGAAATCCATAAAGAATTATTTGTACAGGAAATGCACTTATTGAAAATCAATTATTACAAAAAGAATTAAAATTGATATTTTCTGATCTGGATGTTATATTTAATCATAATTCGGATGCTGCTTTATTTTGTTCGCATCATCAATCAAAAAAATGATTAATGCAATAAGACAAAATTTTTAATTTATGGTAAAAGAATTTTGTTTAATATTTTCAAACTATAGGTCGATAAGAGTCGAGTAAGAGCTCGAAGAAAAATACTCGAGTATATACAGTAAATATCACTCTAGTGAATCGCCCGTAATGAATTCGGTACTTGCTTTTTTTTCAAAAGTAAATTTACTTGTAGATACTTGCCAAAGCAAGAGTATCATTTGTACATGTGATCTTAATGACTTTTGTTAGTTTAGTTTTAAGCTATAACAGAAAAAAAAAGATATCTAGAAACATAGAATGCAAATATCAATGCCAGAAAAATTTTCAAGTTTCACACCCGTATGCACTTGTGCCATATTAAAAATATCATTACACAATGATGCGTACACCACTGTCAGAAGCCAAGCACAAAAAATGTAACTAGTTTTGATACTTGCCCAATCAAATGCAGCTAGTTACAGAAAATTAAAATACAGCAGTTGACCTTCTTTTATCTCTTAGACATCTTTTTTTTAATTCATTATTATGTTTATCTTTATCTATGACTATGAGCGTCTTTTATGAAGCGAAATAAATTTGGTGTGCCGCTTTTTGAAAGATATATGAGTGATTTGCAATCTCGTTAGAAACCATTTTATTTCTAAAAAAAATATGAATTCCTACGTAACTCGATGTGAGCTACGAAACTTAGCATAGTGTAAACTTGCTGGCTTGAAGTCCATGTAAATCTGGGAGGACCTGCGTAGAAATACCCGATTTTATTGTTACTCTAAATTTTCTGTATTTTTTTTTATAAATGTATACAATTTTTAGTCATTTTGATTTTTCTCCTTAACTAAAACCTATTTCAAGCTGATTTTTTTCCGATTTGTTTTTATCTATGAACACTACTTGCAATAAAAACATGGACGAAGCTGCGGCTGACGCAGTTTTGGAAACGTTACACTACAAATTGTAAAAAAAACAACTCTTTTCAAGAAAGTTTCTCTTAATTTCCTAAAATGACAGCAAATGGAAGTTAAATCTTTTACTAGTTAGTTTTTCCTCTAGTGTTCTCTCCTTCGACTTTATTTCAAACGCTTTTTAGTTTTTTGCAACAGATGCAAAATGAAAAACGGGCGGTTTTTTATCAAAAATAAAAAACCCTTTTCAGTTTTTTGTCGAGTTTAAAATATCAGCTGAAAAACTCTTTAGTTTTTTAGCTAGTTTTTTAGACTCGCCAAAAAACTGAAAAGGGTTTTTTATTTTTGATAAAAAACCGCCCGTTTTTCATTTTGCATCTGTCACGAACGCTTTTTAGTTTTTTGGATATAAAAATCGGAAAAGCGTTTTTTAAAAGTTGATTGGTTTCAATAAACCCTTTTTGATAGTTTATTAATCTACGACTATTTTTTACAGTGTATAGATGTGTACTATTCAAAAACCAAAAAAATATCACCCCACAATTAATAAAAACAAAAAATGAGTGTAAGTTTAAGTGATTACAAAATTCTATTAGTCACTGTTTGACTATGTACAAATTAATTCAGACATATTTTTTATCTACGTTTTATTGAGACATAAATGAATTACTCATCAGGTACATTTACGTATATATTTTTTGTTTGCAGTAGTCAATTGCTATTAGTTTCGGATAGCATGTTCAGGTCATAATAAATGATGAAAGAAAAAAAATGAGAAAGTGATATATGATAGAGAAAATACGAAAATGATGATTCAACCCCCCTTTATCACGTTCTTCCAGAGAATTATTTAAAGATTGAATCGGAAAACAGATTTACTTCAAGAAAATAGTAACTAGTCACCCAGTACATTATTAATTGAATAATATGTGGTGGTACTCAGTTCTGATTTATCAGTTGACAATATTATGATTAAATACGGTCCACTCTGTTAATTACATATTCGACTAAAAATTATCACGTTCAATCATCTTACTTTTTATCTCGTTCTTCCTTTCTTTTCTGTACAATCAGAAATAAAAAAAGAATCCTGTATTTTATCCTATTCTTCCTTAATAAATATTTATTTAGTAATCTGATTAAAAAAAAATTCATATGTCTGTTGAGATTATATGTAGTTCTGTTTACCTAACATAAAATTATTTTAAGACATCAGCTCGGAAAACCTTTTTCTTCGTTTTTTTTCCTACTACATCGTCTATAAAAATTTCTTTACGTATCATCGCAGTATGTATGACACATAAAGTCATAAATCAATGAACTGTGACTTAAATAATATTTTTATTTTTGTGTGCAATTATAATCACTATGCAATAAAAACGAACGAGAAAAGAACTGTACAGTTATTAAATATTAAAAACATGCACAATGGTTGATCTATTAAATTCTCAGCAGAAAAAAACAGGACGTGGATGGAATTTTTTGCGACGAAAACAAAATTCGATAAATAACATTGCCAATCATAGTACGACTAACCCACCTCTTCCTACTAAACAACATATAAATTCAGAGACATATGACACTGATGGTAGTAGCATCAATCATCACCATCATCATCACCATCATCAACCAATATCTACCTCTGATCCACTGGTATCACCTCAAATTCACAGACAACATGGCGTAAGTCAAATATCGTCTCCTTCAGTATCACGTCAATCACTTAAAGTACTGTCACCTTCTGCTCAGACAGCACAACATCATCAACATCACGAAGAACACGAAATCTATTCAACTCTCCCCTCACACCAAGATACTCGTAAACATATTCGAAATAGTCGAAGGACTCCTGTAACAGATGGCACCACTCATAAATCACTCCCAGCAGGGCGAACACTATCACCTATAAATCATCAGTTACCCTTAGTCTCACACGATGCGAATGACCATCATCATCAGCAACAGCGCCATGGCAAAGACCGACTTAACGATCATTTATTTATACATCCCAATACACCATTAAAATTAATATTCGTAAGACATAGCGAACGCGCAAATCAAGCACTCGGTCCAGATTGGTTTTCACGAGCATTTGATCGAAGAACAGGTGCTTATCATCCATATGATCCTAAACTACCAAAAATTTTGCCAAGCCGACGACATTTTCAAGCGTATGAGTTTGATCCACCCTTGACAAGTAACTTATTAGTTCTCAGTTTAGGCATAATACTAGTGATCTTATTTGTTTGTTTTAGTTCGTGGTCTGGACGATGCTCGAATAACTGGTCAAAAAATGACAGATAATAATTTATCATCTACTATTTGTTTATCATCAACCGCTCTCCGTTGTATTCAAACATGTGAACGTTTGTTATCCGGTATGGAACGTCGAGATTCCATTCCAATTCGTATTGAACCAGGCCTATTTGAATGTCCTCATTTTAATAATAAATTAATTAATAGTTTTATGACAAAAGAAGAATTATCAAAGAATGGTTATAATATCAAAGGAGATTATAAAGCAATGGTATCAAAAATAAATATACCCGAAACACTCGATCAATATTTTGATCGTAGCCAGATTGTTATGCAATCTATTATTGATCGTTATTCATTTCGTGGTGGTAATATATTGATTGTGACACATGCACCGGGACTCGTCGCTTTGACAGATGCTCTTCAAAAAGTAAAATCAAATGCAGATACACTCTATAAAACTGTTAGTAAATTCCAATATTTAAAAATGTTGATAGCTGAATTTGAAAATGGTCGATGGAAATTNCTCGATCAATATTTTGATCGTAGCCAGATTGTTATGCAATCTATTATTGATCGTTATTCATTTCGTGGTGGTAATATATTGATTGTGACACATGCACCGGGACTCGTCGCTTTGACAGATGCTCTTCAAAAAGTAAAATCAAATGCAGATACACTCTATAAAACTGTTAGTAAATTCCAATATTTAAAAATGTTGATAGCTGAATTTGAAAATGGTCGATGGAAATTATCATCCGCTCCGACCTAGTAACAATGATGGCCAAGAATAATAATGAATTTTTTGTTTATTGATATTTTTTCTTGTATGAAAAATTTGTTCATTGAGTAAATAGTTATCTCTGATAGTTTTTGTATATGTTTAGACGTCCTTTATAGCGCCTGTGTTAGAAGTAAACTGACATCTTCTATAGAATTTCTCAACATAAATGAATAACAGTAACAAATTCGCGTTATGTATGATACAATAATGAACTTGACAACATCTATTAATAAATGTACTTGCGCGTATTTCGATCAATATTTCAATTTTAATGTATTGTTATTATTTTTGTTTCAATAATTATGATTTCGAACGATTCTAATAAATCTGTGAACAGTAAGACAAAATTTGTTGAACAAGACGAAAATGATGAAAGTAGTTTACTTATACTAAAAACACCTGTCATAAAACGACCAAAATCTAGAGGTTCTAAAAAGCCAAAATATACGAAACGAGCTAAAAAACTGAGACGGAAAAAACTAACTCATCGTAGTCGTTCACAACCACAACCACAAACACAGTTAACATTAGATGATGAAAAAGATTTGATCGACTCGTCTGTGACACCAAAAAGGAAAGGAAAAAATTCATCAAACTCTGTAATAGAAACGACAACATCCAAAGAAAATATAGATTTACTTAAAACTACACCAAATAAACAATGTCGAGAAAGTGAAAGACGATCAAAATCACACAATGAACAAATATCATTGTCAGCATCAAAGCAGCCTAGTTTGAAATCCGATTCAAAGTCAAAATCAAAATCAAATTCGAAGACGAAAAGTGGCGAAGAAACAACGAATACAAATGTGAAATCAAAATCAAAAATATCATCGCGAAGATATAAACCTCAAAGATCTATTTTAAGAAGAGAAGGTGTGCCAACAAGACGAACATTGTCTGGAATTGGAGGTGTAGTTATCAATGATCATCCACAAATTACGCTCATTTCACCACGAAGAAAAAGAGGAAAAAACTAACACTATGTAGAAAACTAAAAACAGGTTAGGTGTGAAGTATACATATGAGAAAGAAGAATCGTTCATCTAATGAAATTTTATATAGTGATGTCATAAATCGGTTAAGAGTTAATTCTAAACATCCTACTGCTCCCTTTTTTCTAATCACTACACTCTAAAAAATAATGTGACTTAGGATCAAATTAAGTCGCATTAATGTGTCTTATTTTCACAGAATAAGGCACATTAATGCGACTGAATTTGATCCTAAGTCGCATTTTTTTTTTAGAGTGTAGTGCAATATTATAAGAAGGACAACTTACTGTTCAAAAAACCGTATCATTTTTCAGAACAAGTAAGTCCGTCACACTATCACAGTAGGTATCCATATTGCAATAGTGGGAAAAGTGAATAAAGCAAATTAAGCTTCTTTCAGGTTGAAATCAAGTCTAACATTAAAAATGATTTTAGGATTAAAACCTGATATTTTTGCTCTATTTCTGACAAAAAACTAGTTTGACTTTTATTCGAACGTATTGGAGAAAAAATGTGTTTTCCATGCTAACAATGTTTCTGAAAATAATATTTTTAGCGTAATAAGTTCCTACCCATTTTCCACCCCTCTAGCAACGATCAAAGTTTGCACAAATATTCCTACAAAATATAAATATTTCATCTAAGAAATTTGCTAAAATAATCTAAATCTTTTTGAGCTTCACAGTGAACTTTCCAAAATTCACCGTATTTTATGAAAAATAGCATCGTTTTCGTCTTAAAAGTATTTCAAAGTAAAAAGAACTATCATATATAGAATCAGCGTTAAAAACTGCATCGAATGAGGTAGTTCTCAAACATTTTCTCAGATATTTTTCCAGTAGGACTTTCTCTCATGGGGGGAAGCTCAACAAGTATCACATCGCTTTTTCCTCGAAACACTTTTGATTCTAGATATTTTTTGATGCTGATCACAAATCTAGTATTTGTTCATCCTCTTAAGACTTCTCACAGTCTCTCTCCAACTTTAGGATCATTACCTTCTAGGTAGGAATCATTACCTTCTTATAAATTTCTACTGGGGGACCTCAATTATCTTTAGGGAAACCGTCAAAATTATGGTCGATGAGAACCGAGCAATCGTAGAATAATGTAAAGTGCTTCTCCCTGATGTTTATATAAGAGAAAACAAAAATTTTCCATTTTATTTATTTTTATATTACTTTTTATTAACTCTTAAATGGAACGCATCAAAGAAAATATGAAGGTGAATATAGAACGTAAGAAAACGACAAAAGATTAAATTTCATATTTTTATATTCTCAATCAGTTATTCTATGTCCAAGAAAAACAGTATCCACTACTATTTGTGGCATAAGCTGTCATTTTGTCGAACTAAAATAAAATTAACTAATAAATATCTATTTCTACCTTTTACACCGATTTGTAATACCACAGACGAGTTGTACTCTACGCTGGGTCATTTTTCAGAAAAATGTACCGTTTAGTTTTCGAATTATAAGCCAATATTGCTGCTCAGCACACAGAAGAGTAGTACCATAACTTTTCGACTTTCTCTTGGGCCATGGCAATTATATAGCAGGTCACGATATATATGTCGAAACTTTTTCGATGTACGTGCAACTACATATTAAGTCAATTTAATATAGAAAAAAACGGAATAAGAATGAATAGAGAAAAATATGAGAGCGACAGAAAGAGTACATATTATCACATATTAGCAAGAAGAAGAAAAAGAACTGAGCTGTAATATAGGAAAGCATGAAGTCTCAGCATGGAGATATCCGAGATAATATAGTTCAGCAACATCATGAGTCGACGTTAAACACTTGAACAAACTCATTATCATAACGGCAGTGAAAAATCATTCTTTCTGTTTGTTGAAGTGACGAGGCCAAGTAGAATATATGTATTACGTATTATCATAGTTCATGTTTTTTTTGATGCGTTTCATTTAAGAGTTAATAAAAAGTGATATATATATAAAATAAATAAAATGGAAAATTATTTTTTCTCTTATATAAACATCAGGGAGAAACACTTTACATTATTCTACGATTGCTCTGTTTCCATCGATCGTAATTTTTGACGGTTTCCCTAAGGAAAATTGAGGTTTCTTCCCGAAAGAAATTTATAACAAGTTAAAAACTTACTTGTTAGTTCTCAAAACATTTTAACATAGGCAACTTGACCTTCTCTACAATCGGGGGGTGGCATATGAGTGCGTTCCCATTTTAGCACGTCTCATTTGAGTGCGTTCGCATCTGAGTGCATTCCTATTTTGGCGCGTCTCATTTGGGTGCGCTCGCATTTTAGTGCGTCTCATTTGACCATATTCTCGTTTTAGTGTGTCTTATTGTGGTGCGTTTTCAATTACACAACTCATTTCCCAAAATATTATGAAACTTTTGAATTGTTTTCGTCACTACCAATATAATACTAATATTGGTGATGGTGGTTCCTTCCTTTTTTATCTTGGATCTCGGCCGTGCGAATGTGGAGTTCTTTAAAAAGGCGCGCATTTTATAGATTTAGCTTCTTCATCATTACAATAAGAGTTACTTACTCAAATCTGGTTTTGTATAATCTTTACGAGATCAATTCTTTTTGATGGCGTTCAATTCTATAACTATATCCTCCAAATTGAGCTGCTGGTTTACCACGCCCTGTTTCGGATATTTCAACTTTAGCCATATTTTTTGACTTAGAAAAGAACATATCATACGATGTACAAAGAGACG